GTCTAATAAGTCACAACGCTCATCATAGATTGAACTTACAGCGCAAGACGCTCATTGGCTAAAAAGTTTTGGCGGGAAAGAAGCTTCTAAAGTTGAGTCCTCCGAGCGTAGAAAAGCTTATTTGAGGTTTCTGTCAAATGAAATAAAACGGTTTTGACAGGAAAATGTTCTCAAGGGTTTCCAATTAGCAGTTGATTTGGTTTTTTGGTAAAAGACCATCAGGGCTTGACAGTATAACGGTTAAAAGACGAAAAAACAGGTCCGAGGGAAAAATATTTGGACGGCCCGTTGAATAGAATTGGTTGATCGGTGTGCTGTACTATGGTACATCCTAGTGATTTCAAAAAGCGAGCCCTACTGCCACGCTTAAATAACTGAAACTATACTCATTTTAATGCTAAAATCATCGTCAGCTACTACGTTATTTACTCGGAATCAACATTTGATCACGTTACTTACGGAAGTTGAGAACGCGTGACAGTCAGTGAAGAGGCTCATTAAATTGGAAGTGCTATGTGAAGCTGTAGTAATACCTTCTAATTGAATTTGCATCATACGCGTCGAAACTAAGTGCCAAAAATTACAAACATTTTCCCTGTTACGAGGGTACGAACGGATCATTTTTGCCGTGAGAAAAAGAAAAAAACTTTGTAAGTTGAATCCACGGGAATATGTCAAGAGAGCCAAACAGAGAAGGTGATAAATAAAACTTCCATGAACTTAATTAGGCATCAGGATTTCACGGAAAACACGCTAGAGGAATCTACAATTTTTCGACCAAACTAGAGTAAAAATTAGCGCTTTTTAAGGGAATTTGGGTAAAAATTTTCCATCAGTATACGTTCCTCGAAAATGTTCCCACCTTCTACAGTTGAGAATGTTGGTCCCGGGTTTCGCAATGCAGTGTAACTGCTAAAAGTTCGGATCAGTACGATCTAACCGAGAGTCTCTGCTCCAGATACTGAGTTTTTCAAGATGCAAATATTGGTGAACCATTTTTGGCCGTGTATACGTCCATTCAAGCGTATTGCTCGTTAAAAATTCAATTCGAGGTCCATGGGTCGCCAAGCTGTAATTGGCGAGTTTTACAAATATTTTTTTTTTTTTTTTTTTTTTTTTTTTTTTTTTTTTTTTTTTTTTTTTTTTTTTTAATGCCGAATATTTTTCCACAATTTAAAAAATCCGTGTATCAAAGGAGGCGGGAATTATATTTCTTAAAACCGAATTCTAGTTTTTCGCCGGATGTAAAGGTTATAATTATTTCCAACAGTCGATTTCACATTAGTTTAGTTTTTTTTTTGCCGGTACAAAAATTTGAATTAATTGAATTTACACGGGGTACAACAAATACTTCATTACGACAGTTTTTTTGAATTATTAGCCTATTTTGAGGTTTATAAAGCTTCTGAATTTTTTTTCCAAATTTTGATGTGGAAAAGTGTTCTTCGGTGCTAAATTTCTTGCCCTGATGAATAGGGGCCCACTGCTTGCAGACGCATGCACACACACATCCCGAAAAGTTTCAGGAAAAGTTGACGCATGTTGCAAACGTGCAAACCAAATCCTTCAGCGATGGATAACGTAGAGCCTGCTCTTAGAAATCTAACCCCGCTCACTTTTTCCCTCTCTTTGTAGGCCAAACATTCTCATTTTTCACCTCCAGCTCTCTAATTTTTTGCCGATTTTTCTCGGAACAAGCTTCACGTCGGCATGGCAAACCAAAAAAAGAATTCAGCCCGCTATCAAAACTATCCTGTGACAACGCAATAAGTTGTCACAAATTGTCACTCCACGTCACTCTCCTGTAACTTCGTCCTGCCAAGGTTGATTCCTTCGCCTCTCGCATGAACGACTTCATCTGTAATTTTAGCTCAATCTATTTCGACAATACAATGTATGATTTTGTCTCTCTGTTTTCCTCCTCTCTCTCTCTCTTTCACTTTCAATTCTCCTTCCAAAAAGTTCATGCTTTGAGCCTTATTTCTCACTCATAGCCTTGAAATGTATGCCCATCGCGATTCCATTATCCTTTTACGCGAGCGAAGGAAATTTTGAATTGATTCTTCCCATCAACAGGTTCCTTTATCTCCTTTTAAGTAGAAAATTGCTGTCCATGCACATCCTAAAGGTTTCAGGATATCAGATGTGTTATTTCATGACTATTTTCCTATCAAGGACCTTAATTCGCGGAGACAAAAAGTAAGGCAGCGCAATTATTATTGATTGGAATCACGATATATTTGCTTTTGAAAATTCTAAAGCTCTTTTTGGCGTTTAAAAACAAAATCAAAGAGGATGAGTTCATTTCATGTCAAGGGAGTCGCTGTTCGTTCAGGGGCTGAGCTCCCTTTTTTGTGCCTGAGCCAAGAGAGACCAGGATTCCAAATACTTCTTCCTCAAAACCACGTTTGCTCAACTGCAAACTTCAAACCACCATTATTCCGCTTTCAGTTTGAGATGTTTTAATGCTAACGCATCCATTTTTTTTTTTTTTGAGAAACCTCTCTCATGGCTCAATCATCAATGGCTCAATGTTGAGTCCTCAAGAACTAACTACGGCTCTCCTTGTAGCGAACGCTCATTCATGTTGAATGAATTTTTCAGGGTGAGCATTGCATCACATACGCCCTGAAAAATGAGCCACTTCTTGATAAGAAGAAAATAATCCGATTCATCGTGAAGGGATCGTCATGAGATCTTCATGACACGACAGTGAATTCGATAATTTTAGAGCATAAAAGTGACATGCATATGAACGGTCAAAGCTTAGACGCCTTAAAATTTAGCGGTATGGCACTGCAGGAAACAGGAAAATATGAAAAACTTTGATCAATGACAAACAATACTGCGCTGTATTTCTTAGCGACCCCATAAAAACATTTTTATTTTTTTCAATTCTTGTTTCGGGTGCAAGATGGTGCTCCAATGCGTGATACCAATGCAACTGACGTTTGATGTAGGAAATGGAGAGAGGAATGGGGTACAACTTCATTCATAAAATCCATAGAGTACATAGAGTCGTAATGTAAGTGGGAGAGCTGGCGCCACTTTTAAGCATTTTCCAGGTCCCGAATTCCGAGACTCCTGTGTGACGCCGGGTCACTTTTTCGATACATAATCGATTGTTTGCGATACACGGGTACCCGGCCATCCGATGACAACAACAACAACAACAACAGAGGAGATAGGAACTACCACGTATTCCACACCGCCATTTTGGATCGAAAATGTATCGAAAAAGCGACCCGAACTCGGCGCACACCGGGCTCGGTGTGGCGCCAGATCTCCCATTTACATTACGACTCTATGTACTATATGATAAAATCTCACGATTTGAAATAGAACGCCAGACAGAAGGTTTCAAGAAGCATAGCTTGCACTAAGAAATTGAGTACATAAAAAAAACGGTGTTAAGTTACTATTGTATTCTAATTATCTTTATTTATTTTAATCTTGTCACGCGTTTTTTAGCGAGAAAATGTGGCAACCTTTGAATGATCATACGCGGTTTTTCACCAGTAGGTATGCTAGAGTTATCATCGTGACACCCACCCCTCCTTCCGAATAAAATGAATACACTCGAACTCCAGTCCCGTGAAAAGTACTGAAGTGCAGCAAAGTGTTCCACTATCCGGCAAGTAGGTATGCGAAAGGGTTAGTGACTTCATCGTAAACCCACTTTTCCACTCATATCCGGTTGCAAATTGATCGTTCCATGCACCAACCACGAGGAGTTACTTATCTTCTCCACATGAAACCTCATGCTTTCGCGAAGAAAAATCAATATGACAGTGCGTTTAATTTGAGATGATGGAGTTTTGCCTTAACAACTATGTTTCGTGAAACCTACTCCTAGCCAGCTGTGCAATTTTACCCATTGAGATTATGGAGACAATGGATCTCAATGGTGGGTGGTATGCGGATAAATGCGGACTCTAGACACACGCTGAGCTCTTTGTCAAAAACATACAAAACTTCGCGAAGCATCAAAATTTGACTTTCTACCGTGACATCGCGTGCAAAGCAGTTGCAATCAATTTTTTTTTCAAATTGGCTTCCTTCAAGATTCCATGCATTTAGTTTAAATTAACTGGTAGTGATTCTACTAAAACAGCAAAATGAGCCTTGTTTGTAAACCAAAAAATTTTAGATGTAGTAATTGCGTGAAAATAACATTCTCCTCGATAAACTAACAGTTGGACATGATCCCACTAGAAAGCTGTGTTAATTGCTGGGGTTTTTCGAATTTGCACACTTTTCTGCCGACCTCAAACCTTAAAATGTCTATCAACCATTTAAAACGTAAATACGCAAGCATGCAGAGAGTAGTATTAGCACAAACTGGAGTTTTGCATAGCATGGCATAAATAATACCCCTTTCGAGGTTGTTTTGCGGATTCTGTACAGCGCCCAAATATAAGTTCCGATGGTTATGCGGATGATATTGATGATTGAGAATTTGACAAAAAACTTGAATCATTAAAAAGAACGTTTCAGCACAGACTTTACGAGTTTCATCTTTTTATACGTCATTTTTGAACATACTCCCTTAGGTAAAACGGGAACATGCTCGAACATATATTTTAAGGGACACTATAAGACGTTTTGCCAACCAAGAGCTAACTGTGGAAATCAACATAACGATCCGTCAAGTGGGTTGATGAGAGTCTTAGTCTGCGTTTCAATTTGTTACGTAAACAATCAAAAATGAAAGAAAGTGTGCGTCAAATTTTGATTTTTATTGTAGGGTTGATTTTTGCAGACTGAATGCAAAGCTTGAGGAGGCTTGACACTTCAGTGAAGTATACATAATTGAAATGGCACAAGAGTACTTTTTGACGAAGTTAAGAAAACTTCACCGGTCAATTGAACTTTTTAAGCCAAGTCCAAATAAATAAAAAAAAAATTTAATGGTTAATTAAATGGTAAAATGAATCGGTAAATAAAAGTAAAGCACTATGTTTCAAAATACTTATATTTGTATTATTTACATTATTATACACTTTTATCACAGTAAATATTAGTCAGTGGTGAATTTTGTTTCATTTGTTTAACACTTTTCTTCCTCTGCTTCTTTTGTTTTTTCTCCGATATTCACATAACGGTCTGCTCTACTTCTTACGCACTGATGTCTGTATTTTATCGGTCTTGGAGAAAAAATTTAGATAGTTCGTTTGGTACACCGAAGTATTTGATCCAGGTAACCGAAGTTGTCGGCCATAAAAGCTTACCCTCGATGCAGGTAATAAAGGTTTTACTAACCAAACTAAAGATTATAGTTCCGACCGAAAATTTCGGTCATGTGGACCGAAGTGAAATTTTTATGACCGAAAACTTTAGGACGCCATGTGAGCTGTAGCTTAGCCCTTGCAACCGAGGGTTTTCCTCCGCGATAGTGGTCCTTTGCTGCCCTTCACCCACACTCTTCGATTTTGAGAGAGAGTAGATATATTCAGGGGTTCTTCTTCACCCGCTCCATACATTCTTTGAGAGTAATTTTATAAACAGTTCTCGGATCGCGACGATCTGGCACGTATTCTCCAATGCATTCGAGGCCCTTATGATAGGCAAGAGGGGGGTCCCTCTGGCATCTGGTATCGTACGCACGAGCGCAACCGCCAACCTCCTCTTCACCAAGCCTTTTGAGGTAATTAAAAGCAACCAGACAAGCCCTATTGGCCCTCTCTAACGCATCATCCCGGCTCGTACACGAAGACCAAGGACATTTTACGTCAAGATTGATGAGTGCTGGCTGTATCCTGTCAATCTGGTTATTCATTCTTGGAACATACTGTAAAAACAAAACGAAAAAATTCAGTATAAATTTATTTTACGCATTTGTGCATCTGAAAAAGGAATCTCAGTCCAAGCAGACGAAATTGTCTGCTCTCACGTGAAGTTTGGTTCAGAGATAAAAATCTCTACCTTGACAGATTCCAAGTGGCGGGCAGGTGTCGCAAAGCGCCTTAATGTGCTGTAAAAGTGACCGATACATAAATGGGTTGCGAGATGGTACTTTTTTTGGTGTGGTCTGAAGAATTGGTGCGATAATTTTAATTCATTTGTTTGCCAGAAGAGGACGCAAAATTGAGGTTTTGGGTGCAAAAAGGGCATGAAGGTGTTTCAGGGATGATTAGTAATTTAGAGAGGAGGCTGTTGAGCGTGTTTTCTGAAATTTTTTATTTTTTGTAGCGTAAAATCGCAAAGAAAATGTACGGGGCATACGCCTCACCACTGTTTGCCCGAGAAAGTAGGGAAAGAAACGGGGGAAAGAAAAATGGAGGACGCTTACTTATTCATGACGAAATTGACTCAGGACACACATCAATTGCTTTTCAATTTTGGAAATTTTTGGGGAAAAGCGAGCCCCCCCCCCCCCCCTCGACCCCCTCTCGCCCCTTCCCCGTTCGAAGTCCGTAGACCCACCTAATGCTCGCTGAGTTTAAAGATTATCAGCAATTTGCAGAATCTTGATGTTTTCTCTCGTTGGTGTTTCAAGAACAGACACCGAAAAAAAAGTGAAGTTGATTTAACATTCTGGATGTAAAAAAAGTTCGCATGAACTTATAAAATGCTGAACTACCTGCTACAGCAGTTAGTTTTACACATTGGCATTGCTGCGGTAACTGCTGTACAAAGACATTGAATCTGCTGTACAAAGACATTGAATCTGCTGTAGCTGGTAATTCAGCATTGTATAGGTTTTCGCACACTTTTTTTACACCCAGAATGTTGAATCAACTTCACCTTTTTATTGGTGGACCTTTACATTCCCGGAAAATGAGATTACACTTGATTTACTCATTCATGAAAACAAGGAAAAAACGAACGGTTGTGTAAAAATTCGTAACAGATAATCGGAGAACCATCTTCAATGGGAGTCTAATTATTTTAAAATATACTGAGATTTATTCTACAGGTTTCGGAACGATCCCAGGAAGTGCACTTACTTTAACTGAAAAGAATCAAGTCACGTCGAAATCGTGTCGATAAAAAGGAAGTCAAATTTCTATTCCTTCGTTACACTCATAAAGCATAGCCTATTTTTCATGAAAAATATATCTACTTGACTGGGAATTTTTGACATGAAAAAACGTATGTCTTGTTTCGCAAGAAACTATATTCTGAACGCATTTTTTTTTTTCCAAACCATAACTCGGCTCATGTATGATTTAGTTAAGGTAGATGAAAATGAACACCACCTGATTTTAATGAATATATTCGTTTTAAAGTAGCCTTTAGATCATAAAACGCAAAAACTATACAATTTAAATATTGAGGGATACTCTCACCTGAGTCCTGACGATAGGACGCAAACCGACGATTCTCTGATCTTCGTCCTCGAAGCTAATAATTAACTACTACTCATGTTATTGTGAATCCAAGAAAGGGAAGAAATACAGCGATTCATAGCTTATATATAGACTGATAATATTAACTTTGTGAGTAAGGTTATCGGGTTAAGTTTAAATTTTTATTAATATACAAAACACAATATTTATTTAATAAACTGATTAATCGCCAAAGCATACTTCCCTGAAAAAGGACTTAGCGAACCTAAAAAAATGGAGGTGAGCAAAATGCAAGCAAAAATAAAAGTAAACAATAATTTAAATATCACTTACCATTTGCTGTGAGTTATTAATCAACAGAATTGAAACAAAAATGCAACTTGAACATAAAGTTCTTAACTTCTTTTGACTCATTTTGAAGCGGCATTAACCTTAGAATGTTTCGAGCACGATATATGCCCCTCTCATGGGATCATAACACCAAGTGACGAAGGTTGGCTGCGCCGGATGAAAATGACACTCTTAAAAATGTCCTTTTCCTCGTTTGGTTAGATTCATCAGAATTTTTTGCGTATATTTTCAGCACCATCACTTTGGGCATGGAGCAGAGTTGACACCTGAATCTAGACAAGGTCAAATCCATCCGACCCTGCAACACGTAATTCCATTTTCTTGCGTCATGGCCGATCTCCGCAGATATTTAAAAATATTTTAACTTGCGTCTAGGAAAGAGCATGCGTTCATGCTTTTAGCCGATCAAGTAGAATGCATAAAATTTTTTCCTTAAAGTAAACAAGTTTTGCAATTAACATTTGCATCACTACTTCAAACCACGCGTTCGATCATTAGTTTCGTGCGCGTTCCATTACTCTCTGTTTCGAAAAAAAGTTTGACTGAGAAAAAACTATTTTAAAAAGCACTTAGATCCATATCAGTCACGAATGCCCCATGTAAAACCGTGCTTGAAAGATTATTCATGCAGCTAAGACAGATACCTCGCGAAGATTACGCGGAATCTCGAGGAGAAATCATGTGAGGAATGAAGTATAATGAACGCCAAGCTGACCATCACTCATAAAAACATGACCAAACAGCTTGTCTGAGTGCAGTCATGCCATCATGTGCATAAGATGATAGATGGCAGGTTGCCGAAGAGTGGGTGTCTGTGTATAGAGTTCATCCCTTAGTGAGAGAAAACGTGCAGAGCGCTCAACTGAACCTGGGATGGGTGAGGGGTGGTTTTCGAAATAAAATAAGAACATATACTCTATCTACCAGTTGATCCCTGTTTAGATAAGTATAAGAGTTGCGAAAATTTGTAGATTTTGGAGCGTACTAGACTGGGTACTGTGGCGGTTAGGCGTCGCAGAGCGCCAAAAAGCACTGTAAAAGCGACTACTGTGTATGTATGTACAACATTTGACAGCTGAAAAAACGGACATAGGATAGGGTAAAAACATTAGGGATGAATTTATGGGGTTTGGCGGGAATTTCAAGAGGGAATTGGGTTCGTAAAGATAGGTGCGCATGTGCAGTGATAATAAGTATTTGGCCCGCTTTTAACAGAAAGGCACCATGTCACATCAGCTATTGCCCCATTTAACTGTGCAATTTAGTATTTTACGAGAGAGCGTTTGTGCGAATTTCTTTGAAAATTTTAAGAAATTTGCTTCGAACCATGGAGAAAATTCACGAAAATCCATCCAACCATTTTCATGTAAAAAATTAAATCGTCCCTATAAATTTGGCAATAGCTGATGTGGCTTATGGTTCATTTCTGTTTAACACGGTCCATCTAAACGTATGTGTGAGACGCGCAACGGTGTGTATAACGTTTGGCATTTGAAGGAACGGACATGGGATATGCTAAAAACAACAGGGATTCATTTCTGGGGGTCAGCAGGGATTTCAAACAGATATTGGGTCCGCGATGATACGGCATGCCACATCAGGAAGTTAGGAATGGACGTCATGACCAAACAGCTATTCTGGTCACGTTAACAGGAAAAGGGAAGAGATACTGCCAATTAAAGAATATGCTTGATTGGATTTCTCCCGGACAAAGATGAAGAGAACAGTCAGGGAGAAGGAGTTTAACACGGAATGAGGGAGTTTTAACTCCATGAGGGCTTTGGAAGGATACGATTGTGCCAGATAGGCGCCTCAAAGCTGTGCATAAGTCGCGAGGCGTGAATGATCTATTATCGATATCCCCATATTTTGAGCTGTGGTAAAGAATCGATTAGTAAAGTGTTCGTTGCGAATACCCTGTTTATCGATCCTTTTCCACGGGTTCAAATGGCAGATCAATCGATATATCGCAAAGCACGCCACGACACTGATATAAATGCGGCTCTCGTGCATTTAGTTATTTGAACTGTGTCACATCATGACAGCAACGTTTAGCCTCACGTGGAGTATCAGAGTAATTCATCCGCAGCAAATCATATTTTGGCTGTAGAATCCATTTTGAAGCAGAAAGCTCAAAAATGTGGAAAATATTCACTTGAAATGAGGTGTAAATTTCAAAAATTCTTCGTGCCCATTTGTAAATTTTAAGCCATTGTCATGAAGAAAAAACGATTCTTTTCGCTATGGCAAAAGTTTTCATCAGGACCATTGGCCAAGCAGAGGATAAAAGAAGCGACTTGAAAAAATCTCCAGGTCGTGTGTTTAGTGCTATATCATTTCGGGCTACATTGAATTTAATTATATTATATTAAAATAAAATACATACATAATCACGAATTATTGATAATGATCTTACGTGCGGGTTACGAAAATTCTCAAGAGTAGACGTATGAAGCAAAAAATGCACCTCAAATCGAAACTGGAAGCATCTACCAACCTAGATTATTTATTTGATTTAATATCATTTTCTTTTCCAAGCGTGAACCATTGTAATTTTCCGGGGTGGATTGCGATAAAAAAAATAAGCGAATTCTACCAAGAGATATTGCACATTCGCGTCGCGTTTTTCATATTAATTTTGCTAGAAGGTCATCCCACTGAAGTAGGACTGCCCCACTGTCCCAGGATCCAGGGTGGTCTTCTGCAATTAAGTAGTTTTTAGCAGGATTACATTTTGCACTAAGGAACCACTATCTCTGGCTGTTCTATAAAAACGGTACACGGACTTTATGTCCACTTTTTTTACGTCCACAGACTTTTCGTCCACAATTTTTACGTCCACAGTTCTAAAGCCCACACTACTGTTATTAAGTCCATTACTTAAACGTCCACTAAGTTAAGTCCACAAATGTAAAGTCCACTAAAATCAAATTCAAGCGTCATATTTTAGTCCGTGTGTAAAATTATATTGGCAGTATCGAAATGAGAAACTTTTTAAAACGTGGTAAATATTTGTAAAACTTTTTCCAAGCAATGACATCGATATGAATCTCAATGAGCCGTAGTTGTGATGAAAGAAACTATACAAAAATTGATAAAAGAGGAAAAAAACTAAGAAGCACGCAATTTTTTGTTTTTACTTATTTTTACATCGACCTCCTTGAATCAAATACGTCCAATTTTGAGCGTTTATTTGCGCTTACACCACGCTGCAACACAGTAAAAGCCCAAAACATAAAAGAATAAATTTGAATGCTTTGGAAATCACTAAATTTGACACGGAACCACTATTATATCTACAAACAACACATTATATTTTCCAGTAGTACATATTTCTTTTTCATCAGTTTGAAAGGGAATAATCAATGCAGAGAGTGCAAACATTTCAAAATCATGAGTTGAAAAACGCTGACTCCGCGAGTTTAAATATTAGAGCCTAACACAGAGCGGAGCGTCATCTTAGCAGCACAGAACGCGCACTGGCGCCTACAAACCTAACGGGATACTTCACGCATTGCGCAACGCGTGAAGTATCCCGTTAGGTTTGTAGGCGCCTATGCGCGTGTCACACTGGTAGCCTGCCGCGCCGCAACGCTTTAAGCAACTATTTCGCGTCAGAGGCGTTGCACAGTATCCTACAAGATTGAAGGCGCACGGAATAACTAGTTAAAGAGGACTTTCAATTTTGACTGCATCTGTTACTGAAAAATGTTTAATTTGGCATTGGAGCGTTTCCTAGGCTCCCGCTTTGGTTTTCATCTTATCATATCCGTACAGTGTACACATGAGCATATGTTTTTATCTGCTCTTAGAGTTTGTGCGATATCTCCAATCACAGATCTACTCCCCTACAATTAACAGAAATACATGCCCTCTTACATGCGATGAACCTAATATTGCCACCAAAATTCTGAAACTCTTCACCTCTCTTAATTTAAAAATCTAAATTTTCGTTTATACTCCTATTTTCAAAATTACCTGTAAAGACGTTAATAGTCTGAGTCGCTGAATGTCTCAAAATTATAATAACTAACTAACTAACTAACTAACTATTTCATGACTTGATTCATGAATGAAATGTTTTTAAGAATGAAGGTATTAGTAGTATGCATTTATTTTTTAGGTGGTTCCTGTCATTTAAATGAGAAGAAAAAAATGTGGACATAACATGTCCACAATTTGGACAATTTTGGACTCATTCATTGTTGGACATTAAATCATGTGGACTTAAAAAAGACTGGACTTAACGTTTAGTGGACATTAATAGCGGTGGACATTTATTTAATGGACGAAAGGTAGGTGGACATAAAGTCCTGGAAGCATAAAAACACCTTTCTGCATAGGGAAACCAATGGCATATATTTTGTTTTTAAAATGAGCCAGACATAGCGGTTCCTCATTGCAAAATGAGGTCCAGCTGGTGGTCACTGATCATCATCGATCAAACCGGGATCCATCATAACCAAATACTCAACGGGGTCTGATAGTCTCGCAAGTTCACACGAGAGATGCGTCCCAGTTTCATAAATATCTTTAAATAAATTGAACCTCTCCTTTTCCTATTTCTTTCTTCTTTCTTCTCCTGTTTTGCCCTCCTGCCTCGTTCTAGGGCGGGTTCCAGACGCCGAAGGATCGGGGTGTGAGCGATCTCATTTTTGATAACACTATGGGTAAAATACAACCCCCTCAAACAAAACTGGAGGGCCAGCTGTCTCGGTACTCTCAGTGATCAAACTGTGCTCAAGTTTTGGATGAAACATTTGCTTGGGAACAGACTGCGCAATCATTATTGACGTTATTCAGTGCATCTGCAAGGTTCGTGGCCAGCATGTTCAATTTCTGAGAGAGATCGGTCGTGATATTGGACATTCGAAGAGAGAGAATTCAAAACCTGGTGAGCGCTATCAGATGTTGCGAAAACTAAGCAACTGTTTCATTTGACGGGAACCCAGAGACCTAAATATAACAATTTTTGCGTGGGAAATAAAACCAGAATTCAGAGGATATTTTCCAGAAAAAAACTCCTGCGTTTTTTTCGTGCCCAATCAAATCCTCAAGTAGATAAGTATTGCTAAAACAAGTGCGATAACTATTGCTGAACCGAGGATGTCACTTTGCTTATCTGCAAAACTGAAGGTAAAATGGACTGCGCTAATTGTAAGCAGAAAACAACCAAGCCGCTTCGGCTATTGCCAAATTAAATTAAGCAATTTGATGTTCTACA